CACATGTGTCAGCACTAGCAATGCTAGGTCTTAAGAACTGAAGCCAAAGCATTAAATAACACGACTGATAAGCTTGTTGCATTTCCAGAGTAGGTGCAAGCCAGAAAAACAAGGATGCCTCTTTGAAATGTTTCTTTCCAGGAGGTGGCAACTCCAAGTGGCCCAGGCTTCCCAAGAAGCTATTAGTTTATTCAAGGGCCCCTGTCTCTTCTCCTCCTTTGTCTAGAGGTTTGATGCGGTCAGGAAGAAGATCCCAGTGTCCATAGGCAAAGGTGCATCTAGGCCGGTCTGTCGTAGGTCCCACTAGAGACCACGGAATGGGTGAGGCCATCTCCCCAGGCACTTCCCAGAGGCATCTGAAGAGGAGGGAGTCTTGTACTCCCAGGGAACAACCAAGAACCACGGAAAGAGGAGAGTCTCCCAAGCGAAGCTATAGCCAACATCTCCTGGGGGACTCTCAGCCTTGTTCACTGAGTTGAGCTACCTGCCTGCCCCCTTCTACCCCTTAAAATATATTTTTAGGATATTTTCATGAGCAACGTGTTTGCTGCCAACCCTTTATAGATCAGTTACAAAACAGAAACTGTTCCTTACTGCTCGGGAGAAGTGTAGAAGGGGGGGAGAGAGAAAAAAAAAAAAAAAGTCTTGCCTGTAATTGAAGGCAGGTTGGGAGATGTTCACGCTTTGAAATTCTCCTTCTTGTGAAATGTTTATGAAACACTTTCCACAAACGAGTTATGCAACCAAGACAACAGCTTTGATCGTCTTCATTGCCAGTGATCTGTTCATTAGCGTTGGGCTGTTTCCCCCGGAGAGAACCATGTGAAACTGTCATGGGAGGGGCTAAGGAGGAGTACTCCAGCACCCCCTGCCCCATCACATGACCCCAAAATAGATGGTTCATAAGGAGGTCCACGGGTATGTCTGGGCCAGAACACCACCTTTGTCATCACCCTAGTCTATGCTGTCTCCTATCCCTGGGAAGTCTGCAGTACTGTTTTGTAAAAAGAGCACCAGGAAAAACGTCAGAGGATCATTCCCTTAAGGGACTTTTACCAGTGTCTTGTTATGTAACTTTATACGGATCTCTGAAGCTCTCTGGTCCTCCGTGAGATGGGAAGGTAAATACTCGTCCCCACACCCCCCCGGTTGGGAGGCGAAGCCAAGTAAGAATGTGTGAAGTCTTCCAGCTCTTCAGGGGGGGCTCTCTCCTCCCAGAAGGAGGCCACAGCTTTCTCAAGCAGGTGATGTCAGGGAGTTCATTGGGATTAGAAAAGATAATCATGCAGGATGACTTTTTACCTCCCTGGTCACTGCCCAAGACTCAGTGTAATACCTGTGCACAGTGCAGTGGGCGGAGAAAATTCTGAACTAATAAACCTTGTCTAATACACGGACAGGATGGTCAGTGACTGTGACAGGACAGAGCCCTCTGTGGCAGCCCATGTCCCCAGGGATTAGTCCGTCCTGAGCAGGGCCTGGAGAGAGATTCCATTTGCGTGAGAAGAACCACCAAAGGGACCCTGGAGACAGTCTGAGATTCCAGGCAGGCTGTGGGTTTGGTTGGGTTTTCACAAGTACGGGGGAAATTGGATTTTCACCCAATTTGCCTCGGGTTCTCACATTAGAAGTCAATGGGATTCCAACAGAAGCCTCTCTATCTCACCATCCAGATCCACAGCCAACACCCAGTTGCCTGGAAAGGCTCCAATCTTTTCCATTCGACAGCAGTGAAAGGGATTTTTTGATTTGGGAAGGGCTTTGTTTCTTAATTTCGTAGTTTCTTAGCCCGTGGACTCAGAGAATTGCCAGAGTGTGCTGGAGGCTGGAAGAGCCCTGGATGTGCCTTTCCTCCCTTCCTCTCTTCTGAGACCCACCCACCAAAGCAGAGATTTTAAGAACTTGTCCTCGAAAAAGGAATCTCCTTTAGTGTCTCTCAATTTGGTTTGCATAGGACTCTCTTCTTTGGGGGTTACTGCCAGCCACTCACACCCAAAGGCTAATGAAGTATGAAAAATGAAAGAAGAAAAATGTTGGTGAAGCACAAAGTCAGGAGAATGACACATGAGGTTTGGGGTGGGGGAGGGGTGGTCAGAACGCCCCAGATGAACGCCCAAAGGGATTTTCTGCTATCAGTTGCTTCATTTGTAGAACTGGGAGGTCGGCAGTGCCCCTAAGAGGGTTTGGAGGGCAATTGATCCAGGAAGCAGATGAAAGGGTGCGTTTTCTTTTATGATGGCACTGGTTTCTGAAATTAAGTGTTGCAGGAAGACCTGGCACTGATTCTAACAGATAGCGCTCAGGTTGGAGGCAAAGCACATGTTTTCGAGCTCTGTCATAGCTGCACCTTATCTCCTTTGCGCATAATGAGTCTATAAAGGAACCCTGCCACTTGCCTCTGAGCTGGCGCCGTGCCAAGCCGCCCGCGGTGGACCTGGACCGGCGTGCCTTTGGCTCCAACTTTCTGCGCTCTCCCTCTGTCCCCCTTCCTCCATCCCGCCTCACCCAACACCCCCCCAACACCCCCCCCCTAGGATGAGGGATGCCCTGGGGCAGGAGGGGGATCTAGAAGGGAGATGCGGGGAGGGGAGGCTGGTCCCCAAAGGCTTTGCTTCAGTAAAATCTCTTAGAGCAAACCTTAAGGGTGGTGGTGGTGGTTGGTGGTTTTAAATAAGTAGTCTTATCTATTCCTAGCTTTTTTAAACCTGCTAACAAATGTTTCCCTGGAATCTAGGATGTGAAAACTTTAATTTCTAGGGGAAGAACTAGGACACCAGAGCTTCTTAGACGGAGATGCCAAGCGTGGGTGGGAAGAGCTGAGGGGCACTGGGGGGTAGGGTTGGGGGCTGTCTTGGAAATCCCTCCCGCGTGGCCATGGCTTTAGGGTTTTCAGAAAGTCTCAATTCTCTGTCCCCACTGTGCTACTTCCAGTCTCTCTCCCTTCCTCCTCTGCAATTCCAAGGCTCCAGAATAGGTCTCTTTAGGTGAGAGAAGAGAGGAGTGATTTGGAAAGATGGTCCCTGGAAGAAGCACCCTCTTACCAATTTTGGTGTAACCCTGGCTTGTTGGTGCTGTGTAGGTCCGCTTTACCTAAGAACATCACAGCAAGCTGGACTAGACAAGTCTGCCAAATGCACTAGGGAACTGGAACTTTCAATTCCATTTTAGGACTGGAAGAGAGAAAAATCATATAGAATCATAACGGATGGAGAAACCAAGTCTCCTACAGGCGAAATGATGGCTGGAGGTTACATAGTAAGTTAGACTCAGGGTTAGGACTTAGAAGCAGGGTCTAGCTCCCTGTTCAACGTTCTCCTGACTGTATCTTGCCGGAGACTCTAGAGAGATGGGTTCTCTTTTTGTCTTTTATTCAGTTAACTCACATGAATTCCCACTATGTGCAAGGCACCACATTTAGGACACTAGCTCTTTTCTTGGTCTCTGACGTCACTCAGTAGGATCTTCCTAGCTCTCCAGCCAAAGGGAAATCTTTCTTTTGTGATCCAAAGACCATTTCTCTGCAGTGATGAAGCACAAATGTAGCTGTTAATCTGAACCTTTAACTTGGGTTAAACTAAGACAGGAGAGATTCTAGGATGTCAGTGACACTCCCAGTGTAGACCAGGAAAATGGTTCTATGGCCAAGAATTTCCATCAGAGGGTCTCCCCAGTGTCTTTTAAAAGGTATGGTCTAGATCCTATGCTCTTTGTCATATTATATGAATTCAGTCACTTGGCTCCCCCCTCTCCAGTGGACTTCCCGAAAAGCTGCCAGAGGGAAGTTTTCTCTGGGTGGGAGGAGGGGTGGCATCCTGCCCTGCCCTTGGACACCTGGGAAACCCACAGGTGGGTGGTTGTTGTGCTGTCATCAAAAGCTGGTGGATAGAGGCTAGAGAGGGTTTAGAAGCCATCGCAGGCCCCTCGGGCTGCAACTGCAGTAGTGACTATGAGGGAGACATGTCCCCACCTGTAGGGAGACAGGCAAAGACTGTCACCAAAGCCACATGGGCGAAGAGGCAGCTGAGCATGAAGAAGATGGGTAACTGTGGAAAACAAGTTGGGGATGGAAGGGAAACTGGCTCCCAGACTTGGGGATTTTGTGGACCAGGAATATAAAAAACAGAGTATGGGGAAAATTGATAAAGGGTTGCCTTTTTTTTTTTTTTTACATAATAAGGTGGCGAGTTTTTATTTATTTATCTGTTAAGATTTATTTATTTGAGAGAGAGAAAGACTGCAAGCAGGGGGAGGAGCTGAGGAGAGGGAGAGAGAGAATCTCAAGCAATTTCCATACTGATTGTGGAGCCTGACACGGACACTTGATCCCACCACCCATGAGATCATGACCTGAGCCGAAACCAAGAGGCAGATGCTCAACCAAATGAGCCACCCAGGCTCCGCGAGGTGGGGAGTTTTTACAATGCCATTTGGGGGGCGCCTGGCTGGCTCAGTCAGAGGAGCATAGGACTCTTGATCTCAGGGTTGTGAGTTTGAGCCTCACATTAGGTATAGAGAGTACTAAAGAAAAAAATAAAAAATAAACAAAAATAAAATACAGTTTAGGATCAGCATCATTTCACAAAAGAAATTCTAACATCTCCCCTAAGGGAAAAAAAAAGAACATCATCTCAGAATTTAAAAGAAACATTTGACGTCATTACCATATACTTATTTTTTCTCATCTTATTGAGGAAGAGGGTAAACTGCCCTTCGTACTGGCACAGCCCACCGACAATGCTAAGGGATGAGAGATCTCAGGTAATCCCTCCCCACCTGCTTACAGATTGTGACTCCAGAGCGCCACTCGCCTCTCTCTTACCAGCGGAAGGGCACAAGCAGGCAGGAATATCAAGCTGCAACCCCATAGGCACCATAGGCACTGAGCTAGCTCTTTACTTTCTGGGCTTGTCACTCATCCACTTTGACCTTTTCCAAGTCTCTGTTTCTGCCTGCCTGGGGAAGGCCCAGAACTGATGCTCTCTTCCTGCTTCCACTTACAGATCAAAACTGAGGACCTCAGTGACTCCCTGCAGCAGACCCTCTCGCATCGGCCATGCCACCTGAGTCAAGGACCTGCCATGATGCCTGGAAACCAAATGTCCGGGGTAAATGCCACCCCATGCCAGGGAGCCCTGATAGTCTCAGCGGGCCAGTGAGTTTAATTCAAGCCTTCTGCAACATGCTTCACCTCTAGACCTGGCTCTCAGGGAATCCAGATTGGTCTGAAAAACCACCGGGGAATGCGACGAAGGGATGGAGGCCTGGGGGTGGAAGTGGGATGACAGGGGAGCCCTCTTAAAGAGAAAGCCTGGCTACCTCTACCTCTCTGGGACAAAAGGGAGCCGATCTTGCCAAAACAACGGACCGAGCAGCTAGGGGGCTGGTGTCTGCCAGCCATTTTAGGGGAGCCCTATGCTGACATCCACTGCTACAGATATAGAGCAGTTCTGTCTCCGGTGAGCCCACTCTCCTCCCTCAAGCTTTTGCATCAAAGCCAAACTAGAACAGAGTGCTGTGGGGGGAAGAAGGAGGCACCCTGAAACAGTAACGACAAGTGTCTGAGAGGGCGGACGTCCATGTGGCCAGCCCCTCTTTTGGTCTGGATGACCTGGGGAAGACATACTACCCTTTTCTAGAAAGATTTAAGATTAGAATGTGCATCCATTCCTTCTCTTCTTGATCCAGCAGGGGTTTACCCCGTCTCTTGTGCACTGAGCCTGGGGGTCTGGATCCCCCAAGCATTGAGATTGGTATTTACCCTTTGGGAGCTGGTGGAAGGAACCCAAGGGACACAGACTTTCTGTCTAATCAAACTTTTTGTATTAAAACCTAATAACTTGCTCCTTCCTCCAGGAAAGGTTCAGGCCCAGGAAATGGCTAAGACATGACTTTTAGCAAAGCCAAGTGGCGTGAGATTAAAAAAAGAAGATTAGCTGATTGGGATTACATGTCATTTCTAGGGCGAACCTCTGAGAGATGGGTAATCCTCAGCCCGTGCCTCGGACCTTTCCAGTCTAGCTGGGAGACGAGACTGACAGACACAAAAGTTGAATAACAAATCAAAGTTTAAATACGATGGGCGGCAAGGCACTGCTTGGCTGAGTACAGAAGCTGTAACGATGCCAGCATTAATAGAAAAGCTACTACGTGCCAGGGACTTGAGCTACGCAGAGGCATAAGGCAAGGGCACTGCCAACAAAGTCTCCGAGTCTGGAGACCCCATGGGATAGATGGAGCCAGCACCCCCCGCGTGTAAATTCTGTGATGCCTGTGCTCCTCCCCCTCCCCCCACCCATGTGCAGGACGTGACCTCCCTCCATCCGCTCCAGCAGCTCGTGCTGGTTCCCGGCCACCTACAGTCTGTATCTCAGTTCCTGCTATCTCAGACCCAATCTGGGCAGCAAGGTAAGGACCCTGGCTGGCGTGTCCCACATCCGCCAAGTCCAGCAACATGCCACCACTGCTTGCTGGATGAGCGAGCCCAAGTGTGGGGTGAGTGGCTCACCCCTCTGGCTTTAAGACCGGCTTGTCTACATCGGCGCCTGGGGGAGGGACGCCCTGGAATTGCCCCTCCAGGCAGAGGATCCTCCTCTGCTTCTCCCTCTCTGTCTTCCTCAATTTCCTGGTCAGTACAGACTGAGGTGCAAGGTAGCCCGGAGCTGGGGGCAGGAGGAGGGGCGGCGGTACAGGGAGGAGGAGCTCCTGGGGATCTGCAGGGCGCGCAGGTCCCAATTCCTTGGAAATCCTTCATCTCCGCAAAGTGGGCCGCGACTCTGTCTGGGTAGAGCTGCAGCGCCACCCACAGGCTGTAGAGGGGGTTTTCAGGTGTTCTTTGGCAGGGAAATGGCTACCAGAGAAGGTCTCCTTGGCCCAGAGCAAACAAATTAGAATATGCATAATAATAGCTAGTATTTCTTGAGCATGATATGCCAGGAGCTCTGGTGAGTGATTTTCTTGACATTTTTCAAAATAACCTTGTGCGGTAGATAGTCATACTATGTCTCCCGTAACATAATAAAGTTCTGTAACAGTTTGTCTGAAACCTGTGTTCTGGGCCATTGCCCTGTACTGCTTCCCTCTCTCTCATCCCTACCAACTGGCCCAAGGGATGGAGGGTGTAGAAGTTTTCCACCAGCGTACGAATCCCAGGTAGAGGCTTTGGAAATCCAGAATCCAACTCTGTCTTCCGTCCCTAGCACCCGCCCGAATTACAGTTCCTATCCCTAGGTTCCACGGCATCTCAGAGCATTTTTATTATGACGAATAAGAACATACTTGAACCTCCAAGTATCTATTTTAGTCAAGCAGTGTCTATCATACTCCTAGAATAGGAAAGAGAAGGTAACAGTTAATTCCCTTCCTCTTTGGAAGATAGTGATATCAAAATGGCCAAGACATAGACATATAACCAATGAGGACAGTGTATGATAAACGGGGAAAAACAAAGAAACAAACAAAAACCCCTCAAAATTTGGGGTCAGAAAACTCATTGGTTAAATTTTTTTTTTTAATCACTTACTAGCTGTATGTCCTTGGGAAAGTTAACCTAACCTCTCTGAATAAAAATAAAGTAAAATGAAACAAAACAGAATAATAGTAAAAAATAGAATAAGAGTAAAATTCTACCTCACAAGGTTATTGAGGGTTATTTGAAATAATGCATATGAAAAGGCTTTGTGCATTTCAAAATGCAGTATACATGTTAGATGACTACTAGTATTCAAGCCCCTGACTCCCGGTTCAGAGCTCCTTATAAGAGCTTTTTGTTTATTTTAATAAGGAAAAATTAAGCCCTGACTTATACAGACTGGGGAGCATAAAGGTCAGCATCAGCAGATCCGTACATCAGTGGCCCGGAGCAGCTTAGGGACAACAGAGACCCCAAGGTTTGAGTTTGTGCTGAGTGATCCGGGCAACCTGCCCCATTGTCTGCTTGGGTAGCTTGATGGCCCCATTCCTGCCTCGAGAGCAAGAGCTCCCTGCTGTGGCCCTTGCTAGAGGGAGGCCACAGTCATGACCAGAAACCAGGCAGAGCCCTTCATGGACCATTTCCCCGGAGAGGGAAGGAGAAAGTGGTCCTCAGGCAGTACAAGGAATGGGTAGAGACCATACCACCAGATAGAGTTTCCAGAGGCTTGGCCCCTGGTCTTCCCTCTCTCTCTGACCTTCCTCCCAAGTAGAAAATGTCATTCTGCCAAGAGCCCCTGGCCAATGGAGCTGTCTGGCCCCATCCCCTTGGTCGGGCATCCTTGCAGACTTGCCCCGGCCTTTGCAGCCTACTTCTGTAGGCACAATGGAGCTCGTCAGCGCCTCAGGTCCAGCAGCCTCTCCTTCCCTGTTGGATTTCTTCAGCCGTGGTTATCAGATGCCAGAGCAGGCTGCCTTGAGCCTCCTCGGCCCATGCACCAGTCCAGGCTGGCGGGCAAGCGGAAGGACTGGTTTGGGGATGGCTGTTTACATATTTATCCCCATGTCTCATTCACCTCCACCTGTGTGTGGCAATGCCAGGGCCGTGCCTGTGGGGGCCCTATTCACAGGGCTCGGGGTGGGTTGAGGGACCTGACCAGGTCTCAGGGGGTGGGGACAGTTATCTCCGTTCCAGAGCTGTGGAGCGCGTCTTTCAGATGGCCTGGATTTTATTTGTTTGTTCCTTTGTCCCTCCCCTTTCACCCAGGTCTGCAGCCAAATCTTCTCCCCTTTCCACAGCAACAAAGCTCTCTCCTCCTCCCGCAGACTGGGCCAGGCCTGGCGTCCCAGGTAAACAACCCCATTCTTCCTGTTTCCTCCAGGAATGCCTCAGCTCTTGACAGAGAAGCTCATTGGTTTCCCCCCACCCCCTGGATGGGGCACTTACCCCTCTGGGAAGAGGGACTAGCAAGGGATTATCCCTGTTCACACTTGGGGAACACAAGCCACAGCCATGAGAAATGATTGACCCAATATCACCCACGGAGCCAGAAGAAGAGCCCAGAGATTTCAGCTCCTAGGCTCTCCTGCTCTGTAGGGCAGGCCCTCCACTCTGGCCTTGAATGGGCCTTGGCTTCACTCACTCCCCTTAGGACCAGGGGTCAGTTAACTCTCCAGGGATGCCACGGTGACCACCAGCCCTGCAGCGGGTGCTCTCAAGCCCCAAGGAGGAGACCAGAGTCCCATAGGCCTGATGTCCCAAGACTGCAAGGCTACAGTCTCTCACCTCTGGGTCCCTCTTAAGACCCACTGTTCTAGACTGCCTCCTGCAGCGTGTGCGCATCTGTGGGTCAGGAGGTCTGCGATCTGTGAGAGGGGCAGTTTGCAGAGCTGCCGTGTTTCCACCCAGCACCTGGTTGCCATTTAGAAGGCACCTCTTCCTCTGGCCAGATGCAACCTCATGCCAGGTGTGTGGCTTGCTAAGCGCGGCAGGAGCCGTATGGGGGTTGCCTCGCCTCGCCTCGCCTCACCAGGGTGCCCCCGTGCAGTTAATAACCTGCACGGCTGCAGGACATGGTCTGCAGGGACAGTCGTGCAGAAGAGCCGGGAACAACTGCAACGCCCCAGTGTCCCTTCTCTGGGCTAAGATCCCCCACGCATCACTAAGGACCCTGGCTCTCGAGGGCTAGAGAGACCACTGACGGCATCTGGAAGGGGAGAGGGTGCCATCTAGTGGCTAATAGGAATGGGAACACGGGAGTCCTGAACTCTTCTTCCTCCTGAGGACTCAGAATTTCATCATTACAGACTTAGATCTGGAAGAGATCTTACAGAGGCCTAAGATCAACTCTTACATCTTGCACTGTAAGAAGCAAAGAAACTGTTCAGAAAGTTATCAAGATCGTCCTGGGCAGCGGTAATAAGGGACTTGCTTGGGGTTGTGGCAATAGGAATAGAGAGGAGGGGGCGAACGGGGAGATGTTTGAGGAAGTTGAAGGAATGCAACTTGGCATCTGATTGGATGTGAAAGGGAGGGAGAAGAAGGTCTAGCAAAGAACTCAGCACTTGTCAGATTACAGAACAAATGAATCAAGGAAAAGGAAGTCTCAGGAGGGCTGAAGCTTTGCCCTGAGGGCCACCCCACCCTGCAAAGCAGGATCAAATCCATAAGGCTTCCGAATCATTCTGTTCTAAAAGATCCTTCACCAGGGAAAGGAGTCCTTCACTTCTCTTGGGTCCTTTTACCTTCCTCCTCTTAAGGATGCCCATCTGAGTGGTAAATCTGCGTGTCTTGGAGGAGACAAGGAGGAAAGTTAACCCCAGTCCAGAAAAAGAGTGAGCTGGGAAAGGGAGAAAAGAGGGTGGACCTGGACCAAGTTGTCCACATGGGCAGTGGCCCTGGGACTGGACATGGTCCCTGGCCCCCTTGGTCTGGGATTTGCTCCTTGTGGAGTGATGGATGTCTTCAGGAGCTGGATTCACTCCTGACCCCAAAAGGGCATAACATGGACTCCAGGTTTTAAGGTCCATTTTTCTATGAAAATAACCTGAAGGAAGACTATCTCTTGGACAACCGTAAATGAGATCAAGCTATATGTAGATGGCACTGGAATACCTCTGATTGAAAAACAAACAACAACGAAACACTCTCAGGAAAGAAAAGGATGGGTTAGAAAGTACAATGGCAGTCGCAAGAGTTTAAAATTCTATGGAAATTCTATTAATATAACAAGTCTCAGATGTCCTCTGTTCTCTTCAGTTAATGCCTGTTGAACACCTCAGTTACTTTGCTTTGTGGAAAAGAACAGGCAGGCAAACAACCTTTTTCCCCATCCTATTCTGAGAATTGTTTTGGGAATCTTTGTAAACAACCCTGCTAGCTCCTTTTACGGTGGAAAACTGAAAGAAGGAAGTTACCTGCTCAGAGTCAAACAATGAGTCATAGCCTAAAACCCAGAAAGGACACCTCCCTGTCTTGCACTCCTACTGTTTCTGCCCAATTATTCTAGCTATTTGCTGTCCTTTCATAGAAACCCTCAGTTCTCACTTCCACACCACTGAAAACACAGGAATCAAGTGTACCCAGGGGTCTGTCATCCTCTAAGTGGACCTGTTAGTACACAATAACAGAAAATGCCATTTGATCAGTTGATTATTTGTGGATCTATTTGGCATGTGTTCCCTCTTAGGCAATTGGGCGCCCTGGGCTGCCAGGATCTTCTTTAGAACCTCAGCTGGAAGCGTCCCCACATCTCCCAGTGCCCAAGCATCTACCCAGCTCTGGAGGGGCTGACGAGCCCAGTGATCTGGAAGAGCTGGAGAAGTTTGCCAAGACCTTCAAGCAGAGACGCATTAAGCTGGGCTTCACACAGGTCTGGTTTGCAAGGAGCAAGAAGGAATTGGGTTGAGTGAGTGAGACGGGGCTTCCTGAACCTGGAGTTCTATGTACTTGGGGCAAGCCCATTGTGTCGCTGTGTCCCCAGAGAATAGGGCATGGTTGTCGTGGGTAAGGAAACTGAGGACACTGCTGGGGGACAGGGAGGAATGAAAGCCAGGCAAGGGGTTAGGCACATGGGCACAGCCCACTCGGAGTCTGAGGAGGGAAGTGATCCAAATTCCCCGAGAGGGAAAACACCTGGAAGGGAGCCAAGGTGACAGGCGGGTGCTTGGAGGTTCTCGGCGTACGTGGTTGGTGCTAGGATGGTGGGACAAAGGAGAGAAGGAGCCTGTCTCTCCGGCTTCTCCCTCTTGATCCCCACATGCAGGGAGATGTGGGGCTGGCGATGGGAAAGCTTTACGGCAACGACTTCAGCCAGACCACCATCTCGCGATTCGAGGCCCTCAATCTGAGTTTCAAGAACATGTGCAAGCTCAAGCCGCTACTGGAGAAGTGGTTGCACGATGCAGGTAGGCGGTGGAGACGCAAGGGTGGACAGTGCCCTAGACAATTCTGCAGGGAAGGGGCTAGTGGCCTGTCTGTGTTGGGGTTTGGGGCAGTCATCATGTAAGACCCCTTCTTCTCCTGAGTCTGGAACCATTTGAGAAATAAGACATGGGAGACAGGCAAGTGGAGATGGAAATGTCGGCTTCATTCCTGAGAAGGCCCTTTGGAGGACATGGCGTTAGGTCGGTGGCCCATGAAGACTTGGCCCCATTCTCTTCTCCACCAGAGACCCACCCAGTGTAGACCTTAGGGCAGCACCCCAGAGTGAACACACGTATCCACCTTGCTCTCTGGACCGTGTCTAGTTTAGGAAGATAGGGAAGTGGGTCCTCTAGGGTCTCACGGGGGAGAGGGGAACGCCATAGACACAACACACGCCCTTTATCCGGCTAATCTTGAGTAAGTCTTCAGAAGGCAGGGAGTTACGGTGAGCTGGACTAGTGGGGTTGGCAGGATTCAGTCCACAGGGCGACCTGGGAGGCATTCCAGGAGGTCAAGGGTGTAAGCCGAGGGCCAAGTGTTTGGAATACTTGATGGAAGAGTTTGGCGTCAGGGAGCAGTGTGGGACAGGGTTTCCCCACGGCATTATCGATGTCTTGGGCCAGAGCAGTCTCTGTTGTAGGAGGCTGTCCTGTGAACTGCAGGGTGTTTAGCTGCATCTTTGGTCTCTACCCACTAGACACCAGCAGCACCTGTCTCCCACTGAGACAGGCAAATACGTCTCCCAACACTGCCAGGTGTCCCCTGAAAGGGGGTGCAAAATCGCCCCTGGCCGAGAACCAGTCGTGTGGGCAGAGAGAAGGAGCAGAGTCTATGCCGGGCAGGACTCTAGTCAGTAGATACACGTGGATGAGTGGTCACTGTGGAGAGGAAGGATAGGCAGCCAAGGGGGTTGCCCCCTCAGAAGTCCCTCCATGTGAACATGGGAGGGGCAAGGAAGCTGCCCCCGACAGGTTGTCCCTTACGCAACTCTTTTCGGATCACCGAAGTGAGAGAGATGACCAGAGGGGCTGAGGACCTTTGGGAAGAGGCCTTGTAGGTCATTTCTAGGGTGACCCCCTCCCGGATGCCTGAATCCTTCCTGAGGGGTATCCCTGCGCATTGGCCCTACAGCCTCGGCTCCACCACTTAAACACTGAAAAGAAAGTGACTTCAACACCAACATTCTGGCACCGAGTGCCATTGCTTTTAGCTCAAAACACCATTTCCCACTCTACTCAGTATTCACATCCAGGCATCCAGCCACCCTTGGGGAAAAGACAGACTCCCGAGCGTTCCTTGTAGGAGCTCTGCCTGCCCCCACTCACACCTACTCACACGTACCCATGCCGCCGATGGCCCAGTGTCCCTGAACCATGACCGCAAACACTGGAGGCGTGGGCGTGGGAGTCGCGGAGGACCTTTGCCCAGAGCTGTGAGGAGAAGCAGGATGTTTGGCCTGTTCCAGTTCTCCTGCTGGGGGTGGGGGCTGATCCTAAAAGAGCCACTGCAGAGCTCACCAGGAAATGGCGTTGGACCTCAAGGCCATGAACACCGAGCCTGCCCCAGCCAGTGCATTCTCTTCTCTGAGCTTCCTTTGCCTTTCCACCTCCCGACAGAAACGTCTCCATCAGACCCCTCGATGAACACCCCCAGCTCTTTCCCCACCCTCAATGAAGTGTTTGGTAGGAAGAGGAAGAAACGGACCAGCATCGAGACCAATATCCGCCTGACTCTGGAGAAGAGATTTCAAGATGTGAGCGGCTCCTCCGGGTGGGAGCGGGTGGGCTGATGTACACAATTGGATGAGCGGACACACTCAGGCCCCTGCGCACCACACCTGCCCTGGGAAAGGGTCAGAAAGCAAGTGCACACACCCTCTGCAGGCCCCCATATATGCCGATGAAAGGGACTGCCAGGAACTTCTTCCCCCCACTGACCCTTCTTGCCCTGACATTTTTTTTTTTTTGGCTCAACCTTTTAATATAAAAAATTCACTGATGTACAAAAATGTGAAAGTGTGACAATGACAACATATGAAATCCTGTGATTGAGAGTCCCATCGAGTGCGCACCATGGTGCCCATGCACCCGCCCACACGTACCCTGGTGTGGCCCTGACATCTTTTGAGGGCCCATTGTCCCTCTCGCTGGGAGATTTAAGGAATGGGGTATAGGGTCCCAGAAGAGGGTGGATCTCTGTCTTCACCTGAGGTAAACCAGAGCCCTGTATAAAATTCTTTCTTTCTTCTTTAGGAATAGTTGACCTGTAGTTGACATATATTACGTTAGTTTCAGGGGTACAACAGGGATTTGACAGTTTATACATTACAAAGTGCTCATCATGATAAGTATAGATACCATCTCAAATTCTTTACTTTCTATGCATGAATTTGTATTTTTTTAATTATAAATGTAGTAAATGCTCATTGTGAACAACTAGGAAAACACAAGGAAGTAGAAGGAAAAAAAATCTACCATCAAATCGCATCTACCTGTCTTTCCTTCTTTCTTCCACATGTATTTAAATGCTTGTGATCATATTATACGTACACTGGTTTGAACTTGTAGCAAAAGCATATTCCTGAGCCAGTATGTGGCAGTTAATAATACCAGCTACGTGCCCTGTGGGAGCTGGGGAAGGGAAGAGGGGAAAGCAGGTGTGTCGAAACAGCTTCTAATCAGGATCCCTTAGGTACCAGCTTCCAGAGCCTCAATCCACACCACACCACACATGTCCCTAGAGGAGGTGCCCTTGGCCTCACTTAACATTGTGGGCCCGGGGCCTCCAAGACTGCTGCCCACTCCGGCAAATCCGCCAGGGCATCTGGCTCAAGGATCTGATGGCCGCTTCTGGCAGGATGACAAGAGCTGGCTTTTCCTGTTGATTAGTTTCTTGGAGCAGCATGAGTAAGGGAAGGGGGTGTAGGAAGGAGGGAGAGGGGCTGAGATCAAAGATGGGGTGGAAGGAGAGGTTGGAACAAGAGAATGGAGAGATAGATACACACATTTATAACATATAGCTATGTATAATACATATATCTCCTCAGTCTCGATGGATCCCCATGCTTTGGCTCTATTTTTTCCTATTTGGAGGTAGGACAGGCAGTAATAACACAAGAAAAGTTCATGAGGGGAACATGGGTTTCGGGTGCCCCACCCAACTCAGCAGGAGACTCCTCTTTTCAGAACTTCTGAAGGGAGAAGGGAGAGAAGCGAACCCCATCTATGGATCCTCTGTTCTGTGGCAGGCCCCATGCTGGGCAGTTTACACACATTTTCTCATTTTATCCTCACAACAATCCTACATAGTAGACATTATTATTCTCACTTCATAGATGTAAGACTGAGGCTCAGAGAGGTTAAGGCAGTTTCCTAAGGATACACAGTAACTGATAAAGCAAGCCAGTATTCCATCCTAGGGCTGATTCTAAAGCTTTTGATCCATCTCTTGTTCTATCTTGTTTCCTTGGAACATCTGGCCCCCATTCCCTGATTCTTGCCCCTATTCCCTGTTCTTCCTGACCACATTTTATCCCTTTGGTCTCTGTAGAACCCCAAACCCAGCTCCGAGGAGATCTCCATGATTGCAGAGCAGCTGTCCATGGAGAAGGAAGTGGTAAGAGTCTGGTTCTGCAACCGACGTCAGAAGGAGAAGCGAATCAACTGCCCTGTGACCACACCCATCAAATCACCTGTCTACAACTCCCGCCTGGTGAGTGACCGGGAACCAAGCTGCCACCAAGCACTGGGGGAGGGATAGGAATGGTGCCTGGAGGGCAAAAAGTCTTCTCCATCCTGGGGAAGATGGCAGTCGGGAGTTGCGAGGGGCATGCCATAAATAAATTAAATAAATAAATAAATAAATAAATAAATAAATAAATAAGCAAGCAAGCAAGCAAGCAAGCAAAAATATGCCGTATATAGAATCTACATAATATAAATGAGAATAAAGAAGAGTAAGGGGATTGAAAGTAACTGTGGGGAGATGCTTTTTTAATAGAGAGGTCAGAGAGGACCTCCCTGGTCAGGTGACATTTGAGCGGAGCCCAAAGTGTTGAGAAGGAAAGAACTATCTAGAACAAAGAGTGTTCCAGGCAGAGGGACCAGCAAGTAAAAAGACCTGGCATGTTTGAGGGAGAGGAAGGAAGCCAGTGTAGTTGGGGCAGGCTGAGGAAGGAGAGAATAGGAGGGAAAGTCAGAGGAGTAACACAGAGCAGACCACCCAAGCTCATGGAGGTCACGAAAGGACCCTGGCTTTGAGTTTGTATGAAGTAAGCCACTGGAGAACTGTGGGCAGAGAAGTCTGAGCTGGCTGAGGTGGGCTGCTGCATGGAGAATAATCTAGAAGCAGGACACGGGTGAGAAGAACTACAATACCCAGGCTGAGAATAGAGGTAGCTTAGGCTAAGAGGGTAGCCATGGCGGTGACAAGAAGTGGTTGGATTCTGAATACACTTCAACCATGGAGCCAACAAGATGTGCTGACAGCTCAGATACGGAGTATGAGAAATGAAGCCAAGGTGACTTCAAGGGTTTTGACCTGAGCAACTGGTCGGAGGTGTTGCCATGTTTTTTTTAAGATGATGAAGAATGCTGGAGGTACAGGTTTGAGGGAAAAGACTAAGAATTTGGAGCTGGTCAGATTAAGCTAGACGTACATCTAAGCATCCAAGAGGAAGTGTCAAGTAGACAGTTGTATCTATGATTCTGGAGGTCAGAGCTGGGAATAATTTGCAGTTTAGGCAGACTTGGAAGTTTGGGGAATAAGAAATATCTTCTCCCTCCAGGGAGAGAGAGTGCCTGGAGGGTAGAGGTGGGAAAGTTCTTCTTCATCTTTGGGGTTGATATATATGGTTAGAAGGTTAAGGGAACTGAGGACAATGGTATTGTCCTCAAGTCTTCCAGCACTCAGAGATGGGTGAAAATCAGCCTTGTCTGGCGTGGAACATAGCTGTCTCATAAAAATGACACCATTGTTCGTTCTTTCACCAAACATTCCTTGACCACCTACTATATATTGATCTTTGTGCAGAGTGCTAGGGTTACACAAATAAACAACATCTCTCCCCTGTCCTGGAGGATCTCACTGCCTAGCAGAGGAGACAGACAAATAAACAAATGATAAACAACATGATAATTTCTTGAGGAGAACTTAGCAGTTGCAGCTAATAAAGCCTTACAAGGTGGTGGTTAGAGTAGGCTTCCCCAAGGAGATAATTAATACCTGAGCTGAGTCTAAACGGACAAGGAGTGAAGAGGCAAATAAGTGTAGGGTGGAGTTCTCATGGGGGAAAGTATGAGAACAGTAGGATGGAGCAGGGAGGATGAATGTATGACACGTTCCCGGAACTATAGGTGGTTCCCTGTGGGAGGGATGTTGAGAGATGAGGCTGGACAGACCAGCAAGGGCCAGACTGAGGTGACGATGTGTAATGCTAAGGAATTTGAAGCCTTAGAGGAGTCACTGAAGGATTTTGAGCAGGCCGTTGGCATCATCAGATCTGGCTTTTGGAATGATCACTCTGCTGTATAAAGGGTGGTTTTGAGAGACGCAAGACTGGTTGTAGGGAAACCAGCTACAATGTGTTTGCAGTTATCCGGGAGAGAAGTAATGAGGGCCGAAGTAAACGCAGCGGGCAAGAATGAGGGGATGGGAGAGACTCAACAGATAATTAGAAGGTAGAATTATTAGGTCTTGGGTAATGAATGGGAAATCGGGTGGGGGCAAGGAGAGCGATGGAGGAAAGGGAATACTCTGGGCTGACTCTCAGCATTTCAGGTTGGGTTGATGGGGCAGGTGGTATGCCATTGATGGAACAGGCCAACACAGAGGGAGGAGCTGATTTGGGAGTGGGAAAAAGTGATGATCCCCATTCTTTACATCCTTATAATGTACAGTGAAGCCTGTGGGACACCCAAGTGGGAATGTCCTTGGGCACCTGTGATTATGGGTCCGCAGGTCAGGAGTGAAGGCCAAGATAGAGACATGGATCGGGGAATCAGAAGCATAAGGTGGTGGCTGAGATCCTGGGGGAGGAGGAGCTCAGTTACGGAGTTTGCACAAGGGAACCAAGAGAAAAGTCTAGATCTTAACCCTAGGGAACACCAGCATTTGAGGTACGGGTCAACGAAGAGGATCAAGGGAGGACACTCAGAAGGAGTCAGAAGAGGCAAGACATTGCAGTGAAGATGTGAGGAGCCCTGTAGGAGTGCTCTGGGAGCCCAGAAGAACACAGATCAAAGACACTCCAATCAGAATGGAGTTTGGGAGGGCTGACCCCCTAATTTGTTTGCAGAACAAATTAGAAGTTAGTGAGAACAACATACCAGACAGGAAGAACCATCTGTGAGAAGGCACGGAATTATAAAACAACATGCTGCATTTGGGGACGCGCAAGCATTTCCATCTGGCTGAAGCAAAGGCTTGGGGACGAAGAGAAGTTGGTGAGGGCTGGATCACGATGGGCCACAGATACTAAATTACCCCGCAAGCTCTAGGGAACCACTGAAACTCTGAAGTTGGAGGCAACATGATATTCATTCACAGTTCCTTTCTTAAATATTTATTGAGTACCCACCAAATGTTTGGCATTGGGACACGGGGGTGCACAGGACGCTTAGGATCCCTGCTTGCAGTCCAGCGGGGAACGCAGACATTGAATAAATGCTCTCTGGGATGAAATCTCCAGAGGGGATGCAGGAGGATTTAGAGGACCTAACCTAGGGCAAGATGTCAGGGGCTTCTCGGAGGAATGATGCTCAAACTGACAGCCAAAGCATAAGTAGACAGTAATGGGGGTGGCGGTGCACAGGGAGGAGAGAGTGTAGGGAAGAACATTCTAGGCAGAGGAAAGAGTGTATACGAAGGCCCTGAGGCTGGGCCGGGTGGAAAGAGGAAGCATAGCAGGCTGGAATGGGCTGCAACCCAGGGAGGGTGAATGAGGAGGCTGGAGTGCTGGGCGGGGACAAGGTTATGTCGGGCGTGTTAAGGAAATGGAGCCATGTCAGAAGAGCATTGAAATCTTTAAACACAGGGCTTTGGGAAGTAGGTTCTCAATTTGGTTCCCACATGGAGAAAAGCAGTGGGAAGCATAGAGGAGCTGGGAAGGAGCCTGATACCTTCTCATCATTCATGCAACACATATTTACTGAGCACCTGCAAAGTTCCAGACATGGTAGTAGACACTGTAGTAGAACTCCTCAGGCATCATCCTGCCCTTGGAAGCTGACAGCCTAGTTGGGGAGAAAGATGTTAAATAAGTAATGACCGTTCATGCTTGTGATGTTATGGAGGAAGCAGAGGGAGAAAATGTTCTGACTCTATCTTCTCCTCAGGTCTCACTGGGACAGTCTCCTTGGCACTAGGACATAGTTTCTTCTGCTCTGATATGAAATGATCTCCAGGATATACAGTTAAGCCAAAAAAAAAAAAAAAAAAAAAAGGCACCAACCACTGTGGGCAGAATGCTACCATTTATATAAACAATTGAAAAGGGGGAGTCATATATAAAAGATATATATATCTGCTTGCATATGCACAGCCTGCCTCCAGAAGGAAACAGAAGAAGCTGGTCACAGTGACTAAATACATTATTTATTTTAAAACAACAACAAATTTCTCGGGTGTGCCAATAGGGAGGGAAGGAGGGGGAGGAGAGGGAGAGAGCTGGTTGGTTGATAACATCTCTTACCACACGGCCCCACACCTGTCCCCACCCTTCGTGGGCCCCCTGCCTAGTGAGGAGGCTCCTTGTAAATGGGCAAGTAAGTGAAGACAGAAGAGCCGCAGCTGATTAATTGGGAAATGAGTACATGCTGCATCCTGTCGGGAGGGGATGATCCAAACCAGGGAGGGGAGGAACATCGAATCCCAGCTCCCCGAACAGAACTTCCTTCCAACGTCCTTCCCCTGTCCTTGCTCTGTCGGCGTGAGAAGAATGAAGCGGAAGCAAGGTATGCAGACTTCAGCTCAGATGAAGAGGTGAACAGCGTCCAGAGACAGTCGGCGGCTAACTTCAGGGAGGAAGGCAACTAACATTTAACAAGCCTGGCGCTCTCTGTCAAGCATTGAGGGGGAAGCTTTATGGATGTTATCTCATTAAATCTTAATTAAAAGGAAATATAGGGGAGGTGTTAGCTCTGTTCCATGGATGAGAAAACCAGATCTCAGTGGGGTTAGGTCACTTGCCTAAAGTCACATGGAGCGATATGGTGGAACCAGGTTCTCACCCCCAGATCTGTTGGGCCCCCAAGTCCATTCTTCCTATTACATCTTGTTCTAGGTTGTGCTAAGGGAGTAATCTGAAGGGGGAGAGTCCTGAAGGGCTTAAACTGAATCCTCTTAAGTCCCTTCCCAATCTCAGAGTTGATGATGCTGTGAGGTCCCCAGGGCCAAATGAAAAGCTTCAGGGTCCGAAGTTCAGCCCCTCCAGTTTTTTGTGGGGAGTCGGGGGTCCTCTCCTACATCAGGCTGGGAAGCTGCTGGGCTCTGCTGCCCTGAGCAAAGGGATCTTTTATTAAAAAAAAAAAAAAAAAAAAGGACTGGGGACTGGCGAATAGATAGCCAACCAACAGTGTCTGCCCCAGCAGGAGCCAAGAGGCATCACTCATCACCCCGCCTGGCTGTGCGGAAGAGCCTCGCCAGGGGCCACGGCAGGGAGGGCAGGGCCCGGTGTCGGCAGCGGGCAGCCCCTGCCAGAGCGGGCCAGAGCGGAGCCGATGCTGCATGTGATCCACAGGCCTTCTTGTGGAAGTGGGGGACAAAGTGTAGGTTTGGAACTAGGCAGTCATCAGGGAAGCTGAGCCCTGCTGTCTGCCCTCTGGGGACCCGGCACCCTAGGAGAAGCACTCAAGATCGGAGAAAGAAGCAGACACAGACATTTACAAATTTCTGTTGCCTTTCAGGTCTCTCCCTCTGGGTCTCTGGGCCCCCTCTCTGTCCCTCCTGTCCACAGCACCATGCCTGGAACAGGTGAGCTTTGCCATGGGGTTTCTGAATAACTCCAGAAGTCCTTTCAACAGGGGGATGGTAGAGGTGAACGGTAACTGCTTAGGTCAGCATTCCTTAAATGTCTTTCAAAGGCTAGGAAGATCTGTGCTCGGAGAAGAAGGGTTCCACCATCGAGTAAGTTTGGGAAATGCTGGAGAAGCTAAGATGAAAGCAAGTGTTTGCTTTCTGTCTTAGTTGCCACACTTCTCAACACCGGAGTGCATTTAACATCCCTAAAGGAGCTGTGTGGAAGGCAGGGCTTCCCAAACCAGTTTCCTCCCGAACTCTATTTTTCAAAAAGTAGTTAGAGACTTTCAAAGAACTAGGAGGGTGACCATCTGTCTGGATATGCCCAGGACCGTCCCAGTGTCTGCCTCTTGTCCTGACATAACGTTTGCACTGTTTCCCACTCCTCAGAGTATCTTGGCTTGCTTGGATGGTAAGGTGTCTGTCACCTTACTCCCGGCACGCTGTTTGGGAAATCCAAAAATAAGCATCCAAATCTGCCATTTTACAGAGGACAAAAATGCGCTTCGGCGAAGTGAAGCAAGGCACCATGGGCCAGAGTCGCTTAGTGAATGGCCAGGGACCGAGACTGGGGGCTCCTCTCTCCTGGCTGTGTTCTTTCTAGAAATCTGTGTATCTTTTTTGTGGAGATGGGCACCCCAGAGACGCTGTGTTCTCAGATTCTCTTTCCCTCTCCTGTTCACTGTTCCCTCTCTCCCTCCTCTCCTCCTTTCCAAGAGTTCCTGTTCTTTGGCCCCTCCTGTCTCTTGGTCTGGGGCTACATATGCCCAGCCCAGGGTGTGTGCTGCAGTAGGATGATTTTGGCATCTGTCCTTTTGCATTTGGCAAGTCTCGGACCTGCAGAACCAGCTGTGCTGCTCTCCAGGGCCCGAGCTGAGAGGAGTATTTATGATGAGAGCCCCTCTGGGCCGGGTGTTGATGCTAACGTGGCAGGAGGTGGGCAGGTGGGTGGGAGGCAGGGAGGAGTGGGAGTTCTCTGGAGAGACATGTCTGAGGGCTGTGGCAGGAGGTCCCAGGACCCAGCAGCATCATCTCCCCCTTGTTTTTGCCTCTCTTCATCCTCAGTAACGTCATCCTGTTCCCCAGGGAACAACAGCAGGTCTTCATCGCCCGGCTCAGGACTCCAGGCCAACAGCCCCACTGCATCTCAAAATAACTCCAAAGCGGCAGTGAGCTCCTCCAGTTTTAACTCTTCGGGGTAAGGTGGAGGAGAGAGGACCACGACATCCTAGCAGGGTCGAGGGACACGTGAGAAGTTGGGTCCCTAGCTCTGGAAAGAAAGCTCGTCACAGGGCTGGAAAGGGGAGTGGGGTGGCAGGGGTGGGGGGACAGAGTGAACAGCTGGGCTGGACCATATCCCTAGGGAGGAGGCTTTAAGGAGAAGCTTCGGCCAGGGAGCCGTCCTGGCAAGGAGCTGATGTCAACAAAGCCAAAATTTCCATCCTCACCGGGAGGGTGGAAATTTCCAAACACTCCCGTTAGAAAGGGCCAGGTCCTTCAGTGGGCTTAGGAGTATTCCTCCTCATGCCGGGAACCCTGTTCTTGGGGTGTTCTGGTGTGAGCGGGAGCAGCCAAGTGTGGCTGACAGAACGAGAGAGAGGAGGACTACCGCTGCCTCACTCGGACTCCCACCTGTGATGCAGTGAAGGCAGCGGCCTCCGGGGCCCACGAGTCAGCTCCTTTTGAAAGCTATTCTCGGAGCAGGTGCCTTGAGAGATTCTTCCCTGAGTCAGAACAAAGCAGAGACTTGAAAGTTAGGCAGTCGCCCTGTGGGAGGAGATGAATCCTCTTGTCCAAACCCAGGCCATTCAGCAAGGCAGCCAGCTCTTACCAGCCCACGGTTGCACAGCCCAAAATACTGGGGCTCCTCAACCTCTCCCACCACAAAAGGAGGACAAAAATCCCATATAATGCACATTTTTAAAAAAATGTTTTGAGATAGGAATTCACCTACAGTAAAAATTACCATCTAAAGTGTACGACACCTGGATTTTAGTGTATTCACAATTTTGCATAACCATCACCATAATCTAACTCCAGAAAGAAACCCCGTACCTGTTAGGAGTTCGTTGCCCCTTCGCGCCTTCCCTCATCCTGTTGGCAGCTTTAGGATTGACTCGCTTCTTCTTCCTTCCAGATCTTGGTACCGATGGAATCATCCCACCTACCTCCACTGAGGCCAAAAAGTTTCTCCGAATCCACCTGGCCCTGCATGTCCCCCTGGGAGGAAGGGAATCACGCCCTCTCTGTATGGACAGACCACTGTCGGAAGAGAGGAAGAGAATCCCCACTGTCAACCCAAGCTCTTGCTTCTTCAGGAGTGAGGGTCTCCAGAGATCCGAACTGTGACTAAACCACGCGCTGGCTCCTAGTGCTCTTGAATCACATCCCCCCCCCGCCACCAGGTGTTAACCATTTTCACCTTCTTTCCCTGTGCTCCGATCCTCTAGTTTCAAATACTTCACACGGCTTCCCGGTGGCAGTAGTCTTTCTCAGAAAGGACACCTTGCCGTTATTTTCCAACTCCTCTGTGGGCCTCTGGGGACAGCAGTTTGCCCAGTGTGCCGAACAGCCAGAAGGAGAGATCATGGTTTTGACTCCAAACTTGGCCACAATCTCTGAACCAATCTCTAAAATCTGTGAAAAGATTGGAATCTGACGTCTCCACCAAAGCCTGGATGCTCTCTCTGTTGAGCAAACTTTTCTGACTGACTCTTCATTTCACCCCATGTTCTCTGTAGCCCCGCCCCCTTTTCTAGAACCAAATCCACTCATGATGGCCTTTTCCAGGATCCTTCCTCTTTACAGAAGGCTGAGCCACCCTCAGTCCCCTGGGCGCAATTCTCTGCCCACAGGTGCTCTTCTGTGTTCTACACCTGCCCCAGAGTTCAGGAGTGTTTATTCCTTCTCTCCTTCCTTGTCCTTCTCTGGTCCTCTCTCCCTTCCCCTGGCTGCAGGAGGAAGAACAGAAAAGCAAACACGTAACAATTACGTTGGCAAAGTACCTGTATATAGCCCCTTCCTGTTTTTGCAGCTACGTTGTCTCCTTAATGTGGAAATTTCCAGCTAAATGTTTAACTCAGGTGTGAATTTTGAAGATATCTCTGTAATATTTTATCTCCTTTTTAAAAAAAGAAAAAGAAAGGAAAAAAATTGCCAAAGTGTGAAATACTGTGCTAGCTTCCACAAGAGAGTTCCCACATGGGCTGGGAGTATTTGTTGACTTCTCGGGAACATTATCTCTAGTCTCCTTCTTTGTGGGCCAGTGTGTAGAGATGTAACATGAAGCCATTCCAGAAATGGTAAACTTAAAAAAAAAAAAAAGACTGTATATCCAAGAAAATGTTGAGACTCAAAGGAATCTCTCTGTTCCTAAATAAATTTGTATAGTTAAGATAAAAATGATTCCACTATTGATAAGAAGAGGGTTAGGTTATTGTTCCGTGTCTTTTGTTGAGGGGAGGGGATATGAGTGCACATAGTGAAATGGGATGGGGGGGCACCTGGCTGGCTCAGTCAGTGGAGCATTCAACTCTTGATCTCAGGGATGCGAGTTGGAGCCCCACATTGGGCGCAGATATTACTTAAAAGAAATGGGATGGGGAAAAATTTTTCAAATTGGTGCATTAAGTCTGTTACTCCCCAGACTGATGCTAAAGATGACAAACATTAATACAGGGCTTTGAGGAGTTCAGAGTTCTTACTCTTTTTGACAGAACTACCTTGAGGGCAGAGTAGCAGGAAACTGGTGGGAAGATTTTTAAGTGGGAGGATGGTAAATGTTTAAGGCCAAGTCATTCGGACTTTAGAGATGGAAGCAGAGGCTGAAAAGCTCATATTGCAGATATCCTGAAGGTCAATTATTAAATATTCACAATGGGAATCAATAGATACGTAAAGCAAAGCGTAATCCAATAATCAAATATATTTGGCTTTTGAATGCACTGTGACTTCTGCTGAGGGCCTTGAGGGACAAGGAAGCTCTCCTGGTAGTTTTTCTTAGGTTAATAAAAATTTAAATAGCTACCATTCCTGAAGGAAACACTGACCTGTGGGAAGGGGAGGCCCTTCAAAAATGTAATGGCTCATGGGGAAAAACTGAAATTGGGATGAAACATTTGTTGTAAACAATATCCAAGTGGGAAATCTATATGTAAGTAATTGAGACTTAGCTATTTCTGATGTTTGAATGAACTTTATATTCAGACAAATATTTCATGTCAGGAAGCTGGAGAAGAAAGCCTACTGGTAGTGGTTACTGTCTCAAGAAAAGATCCAGTTGGAAGGGGCTAGGTATGCAGCAAAGAGACATCAAGAGGAGGCTTTGGGACTCATTTAAATATATAAAGGGACAACTCTGTGACCCAGGAACCCATGGGTAGTTACACTGTTCACAATGCTGGTTTTCTTTTCTTTTCTCTCTTATTTATTTATTTATTTTGGGGGGCATCCCTGGATGGGCACGAACCACATGCTGGTTTTCATTCATTTCATCTTTTTAAAAAAACTTTATTTTTTTAGAGCAGTTTTAGATTTACACCAAAATTGAGAGGAAGGTACAGAGATTTCCCATACACCCCTGCCCCCTCGTGTGCATAACCTCCCATCATCAACATCACTCACCAGAAAGTACTTTTTTTTTTTTTTTAAACGAAGGAAGAACCTACATTGACACACAATAATTACATAAAGTTCACAGTTCATCTTAGAGCTCACTTCTGGTGTTGCACATGATGCAGGTTTGGATAAAAATATAATGACATATACTCATCATTGTAATATGCAGGGTATTTTCACTGCCCTAATCCTCTGTGCTCCACCTGTTCATCTCTCTCCCCCCTACACCCTGCGAACACTGATTTTTTTTACCATCTCTAATAGCTTTGCGTTTTCCAGAATGTCCTATAGTTGAAATCATAGTACATAGCCTTTCCAGATTGGCTTCTCTCACTTAGTAATGTGCATTTAAAATTCCTCCATGTCTTCACGGCTTGATAGCTCATTTCCTTTTAGCACTGAATAAATAATATTCTATTGTCTGAATACACCATAGTTTATCCATTCATCTACCAAAGGACATCTTGGCTGCTTCCAAGTTTTGGCCTTTATAACGAAAGCTGCCATAAACATCTGTGTGTGGGGTTTTGATGTGGACAGAAGTCTTCAGTTCCTTTGGGTAAATACCAAGGAGCGTAATTGCTGGATCGTACAGTAAGAGTCTATTTTGTTTTGTAAGAAACCTCCAAACTGTCTCCTAACAGAATGTGGCTGCACCATTTTGCATGCCCACCAGTGTATGAGAGTTTCTCTTGCTCCAAATCCTCGCCAGCATCTGGTGTTGCCAAGTGTTCTGGATCTTGGTCATTCTAATAAGTGTGTAGTAGTAGCTCGGTTGTTTTCATTTGCATTTTCCTGATGACATATGATGTGGAGCATCTTTTTATGTGCTTATTTGCCATCCATACGTCTTCTTTGGTGTGGTATCTGTTCAGGTCATTGGCCCACTTTTTAATCAGGTTATTTATTTTCTTATTGTTGCCTGTTAAGAGCTACTCTGTCTATTCTGGGTAACAGTCCTTTATCAGATGTGTCTTTTGCAAACGTTTTCTTCCAGTCCATGGCTTGTCCTCTTATTCTCTTGATATTTGTCTTTTGCAGAGCAGATATTTTTAATTTTAATGAAGTCCAGCTTACCCATTATTTCTGTCATGGGTTGTATCTTTGTTGTTTTATCTAAAAAGGCATCACCATACCCAGGGTCATCTAGGTTTTCTCCATCTAGGTGTTCTCTTCCTGAAATGTTATAGTTTTGCATTTTACATTTAGGTCTATGATCCATTTTGAGTTCATTTTTGTGAAGGGTATGAGGTCTGGGTCTGGATGCATTTTTTTTTTTTTTTTTTTTTGCATGTGGATGTTTGGTTGTTCCAGCAGCATGTGTTGAAGACACCATCTTTTCTTCATTGTATTGCTTTAGCTTCTTTGTCAAAGATCAGTTGACTCTGTATCAGGGTCAATTTCTGGGCTATTTGACCACAGTTTTTATGAAAGAAATGCAGAATTGTAGCCTCACTGCTCAGCCTCCAGGAGCTTCCATTATCCCTTGTCTTGGACAACTGTTTAACAGAGTCAAACCTGGAAGTGGGCACTGATTCACTTTTCATGTATGCATGATTCTATAAAATTCCAGTGAAGTTTAACCAAAGCTTGGTTAGCTTCTTCAGGAGCTAACTAGGCACAAGAGAATCTATGGACAAAAACCAGTCATTGCCCAGGCAGAAAGAAAGAGAAGAATTGCTCCTGCTACTTTTCAAATTTTCATACTTCAATTTTTAGTTGACTCAAGACTGGTGGGCCCAGCTGTGGGCTCCTAGTACTAAGGACTTTCGGTGAAACTCAGAGAATGAACTTAGTTCCAGGACTCAAGTTAGGAATTCTGCCTGAGCCCCCAGGTTTTAGGCTCAGTGCCCCTCCTCCCTGTGAACTCCGCATGCACCTGCTGTATCTTATGTACTGCATTTGCTGATTCTTCTGCTTCTCCTTTTAGACTGTGGGAAGCTCTTTACAGTGGAGGCTCTTTTTCTCTATATCCCCATGATTAACACTGTGCCTAATACCGGAGCTCCTGGGTGGCTCAGTCAGTTAAGTGTCTGCCTTAGGCTCAGGTCATGATCTCAGGGTCCTGGATCGAGCTCCATGTCAGGCTCCCTGCTCAGCTGGGAATTTGCTTCTCCCTCTTCCTTTGTCCTTTCACCTGCTTGTGCTAATTAATAAATAAAATCTTAACAACAACAACAACAACAACAAAAACCACTGTCCCTACTACATAATAGGCAATTAAGATTTTTGAAAATTAAATTCCTTTTTTACCTCTGAACAACTTCTAGTGCCCTTCACTGAGGCTAGGAGCTGTGAATACCTAATAATACAGTACACATCTGTAGGGGATTCTAGTCAAGTTCAGGCAGCATATCTTGGTGGTTGAGAGCATGACCTCCAGAGCCATACTGCTTGGGTTCATACTCAAATCTGCCTCCTACTAATCATGTCACCTTGAGCAAGTTCCTTGACTGCTCTGTGCCTTAGTTTCTCACCTATAATATGGGGATAACAATAGGACCCATTTCATAGACCTGTGAGAATTAAATGTTAATAATATAGATAAAGTGCTTGGAACAAAGCCTGGTACAATAAGTGTTGTCTGTTATTATTGTGATTATGATCACAATTATTGTCATTATTCTAATAAATTGGTGGAGAGCTTCCTGTCCCCTGCTCTCCCTTACTTCTTGGGGGGATGCCACTGTTGACTAGTATCTGATTTGGTAGAACAAGGGTTGTGGCCAAACATATGTAAATTAGTAAATTTAATACAAGGTAATGAAGCTTGAACCTGGACTATTAATCACCCTAGGATAAAGGCCCAATAAAGGCTCTAATAGAAGAACTGGCTCTTTCCCTTATTCGCCCAGCCTTTAGACCCCTGAAGCCTTTTAGTACTCTGTTCTTCCCTGGAAAATGGTGGCAGCAAGAAAGTAGTTCCAAATTGAGATACTAGAAGAAGAAAAAAAATACTACAACAATTATAAGCAAATGGGGAAAGTTGAGATTTGCATAGTATCCATTTAGTGAAATGGATCCTTCCCTGTTCTCTTTCTTCAGGCTCTCATTACCTCTTATCTGGTCTGTTCCAACCCACTTGAAGCAGGCTGTCTTCTCCATTCATCTTATAATGACTTCAGTTGGGTGCATAGCAGTGATTCTCAACTTCTGTTACACATTGGAATTCTGAGATTCTGTGTTTCTACCAAACTCCAGGAGCTGTGGATTTTGCTGGGCTATGGACCACACTTTGAGTAACAAGGGCTTGGAGAACATGGTAACATTATCCCCTTGCCCAATAACATCATAGGCTTCCTGTTACCCACATAATAAGATGCCTCAGTCTAGCATTTCAGGCTGGCAACAGGGTCATTTAATGTCCTCTGACAGCAGTGGTTCTTTTTTTTTTTTTTAAGATTTTATTTATTTATTTGAGAGAGAATGAGAGAGAGAAAGCACGAGAGGGAAGAGGGTCAGAGGGAGAAGCAGACTCCCCGCTGAGCAGGAACCCCGATGTGGGACTCGATCCCAGGACTCCAGGATCATGACCTGAGCCAAAAGGCAGTCGCTTAACCAACTGAGCCACCCAGGCACCCAGCAGTGGTTCTTAAACATGACTAATATCTGAATGACCTGTGGGTTAAGTTTTAAGATACATGTTCCTAGGCCCCACACCAAGCCTACTAAATCATACTTTTCAAGATACAGCCTACAAGGGTATTTGGAGGACACTTCCTAAATGGTATAGAAGATTAACAAGGTTTAGGACCCCCACTATGCTTCCAAGACACTTTTCCAGGCTCATTTCCCATTCCTCCAACCAGTGAACATCTAGCACATCTGCCTCCCACCAGGTACTAGACAAACAAAGATGAAAACAGTTTGATCCTTACTCATGAGAGACTGGCAAGATAAATGTCAAAACTAGATTATTAACTATACCCCAGCCATGGTGTAAATGCTCACACCTCTGCTTAACGACTTTTAAGTCTTTTTATGACTGTCTGGGCCCCTCAGCGTCCCATTGTTGCCCATCCAAATAAACAAATCCACATACCCTCTTTACCCCATTTGAGCCTCCATACTTGTTTGCTCATCTCTTCCAACTGACTTTCCTTGGTATTAATAGATCTCGAAGAGGAGAAGGGATTTACCGTGTCACCGACCACAATAATTAACATTTATATAGTGACTTCCTGGGGCCCGCCATTGTTCTAAGCAGTTTACGTAGGTAAAGCGTGTAAAATTCTCACAATGGCCTTATAAGAAGCCTATTATTACTATCCCCGTTCTGTGTTTGAGAAAAATGGAGGCACAGAGAGGTTAAGTAACTTGCCCAAAGACACAGAGTCAGTAACCAAGCCGGGTTTATTTTTAAGCCTTATATTCTACCGCCAAGTTGGTGGCAGGGCTGTCACGAAAAGGACTACTAATTCCCAAGCCTAAGCACTTTCCTGGCAAATTAGTGATTTGTGTGCTTGTTTCACAACTGAGACTCAAGCGTGAGAGCAGCGATGAGATCTTGTATCTCCCACAGTGCCTAGTAGGGGTGCGAGTCCTCAGTTACTGGATGGGCTGTCCCAACCTGGGGGGGACGGGGGGCGGGATGGGTAATCATTCAAACAAACAAACAACAAACACGCAAACAAGGGCAGCAGCCTGCGGGTCTCACGTGACCACTAGGTCACACCCCGTTATCTCTCCCCCCACCCTCCACCCCCCAGCCCGGGGCGCTGGAGGAGCAACCCTCCGGTTCCGGCGTCCAGCTCGCGTTCTGCGCTCCGTCCTCCCAGCCACAAGGTGCCCCCAGACCCCGGGCTCCTCTTCCGCCGCCGTCAGAGCATCGTTCTCTCTCCTTCTCTCCGCCGCTTCCTGCTCCGGGGATCCTCGCTCTGAGCTCTGGGGCCAAGGCGCCCGAGGCTTCCCGGGGCGCTCGGCCAGGTAACAGCGCGGCGCGAACGGCCGGACTGCGGCCGCCGGGCTGGGCTGGGGACCAGGGCGGCCCGGTCCGCCCGGCGCACTCGCGGGGAAGGAGGCGGGCAGATGGCCCCGCCTGGCCGCCGAGGAGGGGCTGGGGGCGGGGGGGGGGCGGTGTTCTCCTCCTGCCTGGGGGCGCGGGAGGCCTTGCCACGCCGGGCTCGGGCGGGCGGCCGGAGGTCTGCACGGCGGCGCGGCGCAGGTGCTCGCGAGCCGGGCGTGGCCCGCGGTCCGTGGGCGCGTCGGAGGGAGAGGCGCTCGCCGTCCCTGCGGGGCGCCCGGGTTGCCGCTCGCCCCAGCCACGCCTGCTCCGCGGTCGCCAGCCAGGTGGGCCCGCCCAGCGCTCCTCCTCCCGAATCTGGCCCTGGAACGCGAGGAGCGAGGACTAGAGCTTTGGAATTCTGAGCTGGATCGGCCACCCCAGTACCCTTCCGTTCTTTTACCCAAGAGTTAAAACAAACAAAACAAAACCGAAATCCAGAGAGGGAGTGACTTTCGCAAGGTCACAGACTTGTATCTGCCCCTTACAAATGTCTATTCTTTTAAGTGTTTGTAAATAGACCACTGTTTCCTCTGTTCTGCCAGGGAATTAGGATTCAGAGAAGAGGACTCTAAAAATACTAATCAGCAGATCCAAATGAGCTGATCCGTATTACTGGCCGGTGACCCGGGCATTTAGAAGGAAAGAAGCGAGGACGGTTCTTTTCACTCCGGGTACTTTGTATTTCTGGCCCTTGCTCTGAAAATTGGCCTCGATGTTTTACAAAATTTATCTCAGAACTCCTTGTCAGAACTGGGCCAGCTTAGAGTTTTCAATCCTCTTTTCTTCTCTTTCCCCCCCTTTTTTTTTTTTTTTTTTTTTTAACGGAGGCACAAGAGGTGAAAGTGATTTCGCCCACACTTTGATGCCTAGTTAGGGGCACAGACAGAATTGGAACTCAAGACTGTGATCGACACCTACTGTTTTCTTGAATAGAAACCTGATTACAGATGAACGCTTTACAGAACTTGACCTTCATCAAGCTCTCTCTGGATAGCATTCTCGGGAGTGCTTTGTGTTGGTCCATGGATAGTACTTCACTTGTCTGAATAGGGTTAAGCAGTAAGTGTAGCCATGCAGAAAATTCCTGCTGAGATGAGACAGATATCTGCAATGTTTTTGACTTTTTTATTTGTACTTTCAATAGAGGAGCTAACGAGCATTAATAACAACATCTTGGTTACTTTAAGATTTTAGTCCTGTATGGCCAAATTGATCCAGTTACAGTCATTCTTGGCTTGATATACTTGTCATCAGTAAAAATTTCAAAGCGTAGCTTTCTGACTTTGATGTTTAACTGAATAATTGCCTTAAGGATATTTTTTTATATCTCAACAAAAATTTCCCACTTACACCATCTGCTTCCCCCTTGGTCAGTCTTTTTTTTTTTTTTTTTTTTTTTTTCCCCTTGGTCAGTCTTTGAGTTGGATTTCAGAACTGAACAGAGCTAGAATTTTTTTTTTCCCTTCCGAAATACCTAGACTCCTTTTAGTTCCCTATTCAGGTGTACCTCAAGTTTCGATTTTAATTGATAAACCTGTGACCCAAATCCAAACTTCAGTTGAGTTTAGTATCAGCCTCAAACCACACAAAACTGCTATGTGTCATATGACCTCTTGTAGAAACCACAGGTGGTGGTACTGTTTTTTCAAGAGAGCTTTTTATTGGGATTTTTGAAGTGTGAACACATTATTTAATACATGTATTGTATTACTCATGTTCATCGTCCAAGGTCAGTCACCACTGGCAGGTTATTGTTGACTTTTACTCATCGTAACAACACGTTATATCAGGCAGTCTACCAACTCAGAATGCAGTTCCTGGTTTTCGGTTTAGAGCTTTTATCAGTTCTCTCTAAGGAACATGGAATCAGAATTACAGCCACGCTTTAATGGAAGATTCTTGGCTGTGTCGATAAGGAAGAAGTGTTTCAGTGAAGGCGGTATTTTTGTACTATCCTAGAGTAGAAATGAAGATTATATGCACATTGACCCAATGCTGTTTTCTTAGGGTGTATCCTTTGTTTTTCTGGTTTTGGTCTTTTCATCATAGGATGGCATCAGCTCTGTGTCCGCAGGTGCTGTGCAGCCTGGGGGGCTGGCTCTCACTCTACATTTCTTTCTGCCACCTGAATAAGCACCGAAGCTACGAGTGGAGCTGCCGGCTGGTTACATTCACCCATGGAATCCTCTCTATAGGCCTCTCAGCTTATATTGGCTTCATTGATGGCCCCTGGCCTTTTACCCATCCAGGTAGGTGGGAGACATTAGAGGATTTTCCCTAAGGGGATCATAATTGGGGGGTAGTCTTGGAAGGATGGGACGTTTTCACAGAATTTGTACAATACTGGAGAATACTGAAGAATAATTGCCATTATAATTTGTATTGGGAATCTTCATTTTTAACTCTTATACTGTATATGTCCCTACTTCTGCTTTTCATAACTCTCTACTTTTAAAACAAGTTTTAAATGCTTGTTACATTGTAATCCACCGAAATAAACAAAACATAAAGCCAATATCAACATCTTCTACCAACCCCTCCAAACAGACACAGATGGCCTGTATTACACATACTTTTTGATAACCTGCAATTTTCACTTGATTGTATATTCAGAGGACATCTATGTACTAGATTTCTTTTATCCTTAATTGTGATGTAATATTGTGTTGTATGCATATACTGTGATTTATTTAACTGATGTCCATTATTTGCAGCACTTACATTGATTTTTTTAAACTGCTAGATGTACAAGTATTACCTCCTCAGAATAAAAAAGGTTGTATCCCCTTGAATTAGTTTTGCTGGAGCTGCCGTAACACAATGCCACAGACTGGGAAGCATGAACAACAGAAACTTATGTCTTCACAGTTCTTCAGGCTAGAAGTCCAAGATCAAGTTGTTGGCTGGTTTGGTTTCTTCTAAGGCTGTTCTGTTTTGCTTGCGGGTGGCTTCCTTCTTGCCATGTCCTCACATGGTCTCCCCTTTGTGTGTGTCTGTGTCCTGATCTCCTTCTTTTATAAGGACACCAGCCGTATTGGATAAGGGCCCATCCTAACAACTTCATTTTATCTGAATGACCTCTTTAAAGGCCTTCTCTCCAAATACAGTACATTCTGAGGAATTGGGGGTTAGGGCTTTGACATAAGAATTTGGGGGGTAACAGTTCAGGCCAGAAGTCCCCTAGGATATGATTTTTTTTTTTTTAATTCCTTAGTTTTTTTTTTTTTTTTAATTTCCTTAAATTCCTATATTTAGCTTCTGAGGTTTTCCCAAAACTATTCCAACTGATATAAAAGCAGCTATTAAGCTGTATGTCTTATATGAAGGTTTTAAATAGATTTGAACATGTCATGTCCTCGCACTTGATTTTCTTGGGCTGGGAATACACTAACTTCTGGGGTTAGTGTATTCCAAGGTCCATTTTCAAGAAGGGTAAGGCCACCAGTGTCCAGACAATCTAACCCATTAAGCTAAGAAATTAATCCGACATCCAGGGCAGAATAACTAAAAGAGCTTGGAAACAGACCTTTAAAACTGGTCAAATAAATAAATAAATAAAATTTAAAAAAATTAAAAAGAGAAAGAAAGAGCTGTAGGATTTTAATTGAAAGGACAAAGTAGCTCAATTTTATGCTGCTCCATAGAGAGGACACTGAGATCATGGGCTGGTGCTCAGATCATTCATTGAGATCTGATTCATCAGAACAGAATTTCCCAGGCCTGTGACATTATTGGGTTTGATAAAGACCAAGGTTATAGATTTTAGTCTTTCTTGGTCATCACTCAGATGAATGTGCCTGCCTTTGTCTTTGCTCTCAGTGGTTCCAGAAAGCTTGGGAAACACTGGACCCCAGTGTCCCGGTGCAGGGTAGCTCAATTCCCAGCCACTCAGTTTGCTTCTGTCTTGGTTTATTTCAGGCTCACCCAATACTCCTCTCCAAGTGCACGTTCTCTGTCTCACCTTGGGCTACTTCATCTTTGACTTGGGCTGGTGCATCTACTTCCAGTCTGAGGGGCCCCTGATGCTGGCTCACCACACACTGAGTATCCTGGGCATCATCATGGCCCTGGTGCTCGGGGAGTCAGGCACAGAGGTCAACGCGGTCCTCTTTGGAAGCGAGATCACCAACCCCTTGCTACAGATGCGCTGGTTTCTCCGTGAAACAGGCCACTACCACAGTTTCACTGGAGATGTGGTGGACTTCCTCTTTGTGGCCCTGTTTACTGGAGTGAGGATTGGTGTAGGAGCTCGCCTCCTTTTCTGTGAAATTGTCTCCCCCAAGCCCAAGTGGTTTGTGAAGGTTGGGGGAGTAGCGATGTACGCCGTGTCTTGGTGTTTCATGTTTAGCATCTGGCGCTTCGCGTGGAGGAAGAGCATCAAGAAGTACCATGCCTGGAGGAGCAGGTTGAGTGAGGAGCGGCAGCAGAAGCACAACGGCCATCTCAAAACACACTAGCCGAGGCTTTCTCCAGACGGTGGATTGGGTTCAGTCAGCCACGGGACCCAGGTTGGAGATACGGCTATTACAGAATCAGGCTTACAACGAACTGAGGTTTCACAAAAGGGCTACACCTTATCGGTCAGTTTGGTCAGTCTTCGAGTGGAGCCCGTACCAGTATTAAAACACTAATGTCTACCATGGCGCGGTTGTAGAAAAGCGAGACTACTCGGTGGTAGTTGTGAGTACGTCAGCGCCGTGAGGTGAGCAATGCTGCGTTCCTGTTAGTTCCTGGTGTCCCTGGGTTCTCTTGTCCCTGGGATGCCTGATGGCTAGACAGCTCAGGAAGGAATTAGAATCCCTTTGAGAATTGACTCCTTGAACAAACCCTTATTCCCGCTTTCCATGTAGCAGTTTAAATAAAGTCACCCCATTTACTGTAAAGGGAGGGACTTTCAGGACGATGAACGTCTGACATTCTGAGCATCGGATCAGGGAACTGGATGTGCTCACACAAAGGGAAAGAGCTGAGAGGAGGTTGGGGTGAAACTGGCCTCGGTAATGGGTCACTTCTTGAGGCCTCCCTATACCAACTGTTGAGGCTCACCAAGACACCCCCCCCCCGCTCCCCAGTTTTGGTGCTTTGCTTGTGGGATTCACATGACTCAGAATGTAGTCAAACTCCTAGCTGTGATCAGTTAACAGTGAAGGGGTCCAAACAGGGCTGCAAAGGGAAAAGATGCCAGGGGCAGAGTCAAAGGGAAACCAGGCCCAAGCTTCCAGAGTCCTCTCCCAGTGGGATCACCCAGGATGTGCTTCCTTGCTCTAACAATTTGTGGCCATATGTGTAAAATGGCCAATGAGGAAGCTTATTAACTGCTCAGTGCCCAAGTTTTTCATTGGGGGCTGGTCATGTAGGCAACCATTGCCTGGCATGGAGCAAAATTCCTGACTCCCAGCAGGAAAGTAGGTGTTCAGCATGAACCATATTGTCTGCACAAACAGTTGAGGCATGGTGAGCCATTCTCAGCACTTAGTGGAAGGAGCGCTCCCGAAATCTAAGTTCCCAGATGTCAGCTAAGGGCCAACCTTGCAAGTTGGCCTTTCCAAGGACAGGAGTTCAGGCCTGCCCTGTTAACTCTTTTCTGCACAAAAACCAGAGAGCTAGGGCTTTGGGTGAGAGATGAGGTGTGGGCAGATTTACCAAGTCCTGTTGTACGGGTTCTGCCCTACCGGGAAAACTATGCCAATTCTCAGGGCTTTTGTGCATTAATCTCCCAAGCATGAGAGGCTGTGAGTGAATTCCATAGGGATTTACCATGTGGATTCCACCGTGCTTGAGATGGCAGTTCAAGTTTCAGCTCTGCTATACATACTGCAAACCAGAACCAAAGACAAGTGTACTGGCCGCAGGGTGATGAGGCTAATTTTTTTTTTTTTAATTTCATATACATTCCCTTTAGCCCTCTTAACTACCTTTTCTTTTCTCTGACAAAGATGCCCCTCTCTATGGATAAAGTATTATGACAAGGGCAGTCTTGGAAGGGAACAAAATATTTCTTAGTGCAATAGTCTCTAATCTCACCCAGGGAAAGCGAGAATGTAAGCTTAGAACGAAAGGTTAGGAATCAAGACTTCCTGGGTTCTTTTAACTAATTTGGCTGCTCACTTGCCAGATCAATTGGGCAGGTCACTTGTGTACTCTTTGTCTCGGTTTAAAACCTGTGGTGAATGAATGAAATACCCCGTTGTGTATTTCACAGCGACACTGTGGCATTTTATTAAGGGGTGTCTTTAATGTAGGACTTTTATGGAAAAAATTATTATTTATTTATTTATTTGCTGTTTATTTATTTATTTGATTATGTATTATGTTATTTAGACCACTGGGGATTGATCTGCTCAGTTAGTGAGCAAATGTGTGGGGCCACTGAAGGCTAAGCCTAGGTTGATAGGAAGTCTCCACCCATTCTGTGGTCACTGGTAATACTAACCTAATGAGTGGTCTTGAAAATGGATGTCACTGGCCAGGCATGATGGAGCGTTGGAACCGCATGAAGTCATTGTTGCTCTGGCAAAAGCAGCTTTCAAGGCATGTTAATAGTGGGTCTTTTAAAATGACTGTCATCGGGTTAACGAGTTTTGCTGCACATGGAAATAATCTGACAGTAGCGTCTCCGTCTCTTTTCTTCTGTGATCGGGATCCCCAGAATGCTGGTGAGCTTCTTTCCAACAAAACTGTGGTCAAAGTTGGATGCTGGGGAATGCTGATTTTAGCAAAAGCCTAATAAAAAAGAGTGGCTTGGCGCAGGAGCTTAAAAAAAGAAAAAGCTGGCTCTTGAATTTTGGCACAGTGCAACCTGTTCCATACCAGACAAATGAATAGGCTTAATCTGGTACCAATTTTTTTTTTTTTTCCTTTTTACTCCTCAGAAGTGAAGGGATTGCAGACCTTGCTGTTTTAGGGGTACTCTCACGGGAATGTACATAGGTTTCTTTTGGATTTTGAATGACCTAAATAATAAGAGAAGAAAAATTGTTCATTTCAGCTTTTCTTGATGTTTTAACTAATAACTATGAAGGAACCTCCCTGAGAGAAAAATGGGACATGCAGGTGAGTCAGCAGTTAAGATGCTGTGTTTCTACATCACAGGTAAACGAAGGGCTAATTAACATGTGGTATGGTCAGACAAAATGAAGCATTTTATTCATTTGCCTTTGGATTACTATGTAATAATTCCTAACACTGCTCAAGATTTATACTTCAATGAGATTTGTACTAAATTTTATAAAAATAAACAACTTTTTATCAACCCAGAGTCTGCCTTTATATCTTTATTGTGGTTTTGCCAAGAAGTAAAAAAAAAAAAAAGTCTTTTGGCTTATAGAAATGTTGACCCATATTTATACTTATCTGTGAAATACATCTGCTCTTACCATCAACCATTCCTAATAACTTTACTTTTGGGGGCAACAATCTGCAAAAAGATTGCCAAAGAGAGAGGAAGAACTAAATTTATTTTGCTACCTGTTTGGGCAATTGCCTTGAATTTTTATTTACTTATTATATTGGGCGGGGTAGGGGCAGAGAGAGAGAGAGAATCTCAAGCAGATACCCTGCTGAGCACAGAGCCCAACAACATGGGACTCAATCCCACAACCCTGAGATCATGACCTGAGCCCAAAACCAACAGTTGAACTCTCAACCGACTGACAGGCACCCCTGGGCATTGCCTTGAAAATGATGATGTTGAATGGGCTCCCTGAGGACAAGGGCCCTCAGGTCTCTTCAGAACTGTTTAGAATGCCTAGAACAGTGTTAGACACATAGTAGGTGCTCAATAAACGTTGAAAGAACGGATGAGGATGCGGTTTAGAATAACCACCTTGCCCCTCTCCCCAGGAGGGGGGAGCCTCAAAGAGCATGTGCCATGGATTGTGTCACCAGTGTAATTTTTTTAGGTAAGGGACTAATGACCATGGGCATTGTGTTCTACCTAGACTGGTGTGACTCTTCTGAAGGCGTTCTATAGAAAGAGCCTTTAGAACAGTCCAGAGCTACCAACAGCTCTAAAGAGGCTTTCAGGGATGTTTTTACCATTAGAGCTTTGTGGGTGAACATAGAGATTTTCATCATTGAAAAAAACAGTTCTGGAATGAATAACCACTGGCTTAATTAAATCCTTTGCTTACCATCTTCTGAAGTTTTCCCACAGCAAATGCCTTCTTTGCTCACAGCTAGAACTTTGGGTCTGTTTAAGTTTGGAAAGATCTTGAAAGCAGCCTGCCAAGAGGTTTTTGTATGCAAGGAAGAGAAGGTGAATTCGGAAACTTTCCCAGTTTGTTTTATTCCTGAAGCTCAAGTAGTGAGGCATTCTTGAAGGGAAGAGGAGAACTCATTTAAAAAAAGGCATGATTTGATGAGTCATTGGGTCCAATTAATTTCATACCTACCCTGTAAGTTATTAGAATCTGGCAAAAAGATATTTAGTATGTTTAAGGAAGACATATGTTTGGGGACAAAGTTTGCACTTCGGTCATTTTATATAGGGGGACGGAGCTCTTTCCAGTTAGTATGAAAAATGGGCAATTTAATATCAAGAGTTCTCAGGGTAGAATTATGCTAGGGTACACCAGCAGGTGGCGATGTATCCTGGTCTGATCATTAGGAAAGTGGCTTGGAACGTTAATCAGCTGCTATTCTTTCCCAAAATAAACATTACAAAATTAGCTGGCTGTGCCCTGAACTTAAAAAAAAAAAAAAAAGGCAATAAAGAGTCATCTTTGGCCTCTGTTTATCTTTTCCTTTTTTTACCCCGTTCTAACGTCAGCCTTAGCTCATGCATCTATTCAGGGATAATGATCTTTTCATGAACTGTTGCAGGTTGACTTTTAGAAACAGCATTGTTAAGAGGTAATTGTTTCCCCTCTCCACATCCACTGTTTGTTAAATTTGCTTGACCACTAGATTTCCACAAAAAGGCTGAGGACCCTCACCCACCAATACAGGTTTAAATCCATTAAGTCTGAAAACAGGTAAAGGGACAGCCACTTTAGACATTGGCAGGCAGAACTGAACTATATTGTGTTACTTAAATTGCTACACTATGGAATTATGCAACCATAAAACTAGATGGATATCTAAATGTACCCGGTAGGAAAAAAAAATATGGGAACTCTTCAGAGACAACTGCAATGCTTTCTACTGGATAAATACTTTATTTGCTGCTCCCATTTCTCTCCACAGCAAGCTTGTGAAGTCGCTGTGGAAAGCACCATGCTTTCTCCATTTGGCAAATCATACATTTCATTTTGCCAAGGCAGAAGCAGCCTCAAAGCAATATTATACCAAGAAATCCTGGCTCCAATTCCCAAACTCTCTTTCCCCCCCAGCTCTACACACCTCCGTCCTCTAACTTTCCCCTGGCAGCCAGGATGTGTGCGCGGCGGCCCCCGCCCTGGGATGAGGCCAGCAGGTGCCCCAGGTGAGCGTCCAAGGCCAAACCCTCTCTTTGCTGGGGTTTGCTGCATTAGAGAGGGACGGTGTCCCGGCACCTGGACCTGAGTTCTTCGCTTCCATCAGTCACAATTGGTCTTTATGTATTATCAGAAAATAGGAGCAAGTACATTCCAGTAAGGAATAAACGTTTCCAGGGCAAGGGGGCGGGTAATTCCCAAAGAGCCTCTCATCTCGGACGCCTCGGGACCGGGGGAGTGCTCTTCGGCGGTCTCCGGGGACAGCCGAGTTGGTACAAGCCAGGCTCCAAAGTACAGCTCTCCGGAGCTCGCGGGGCCCTCGAGGGCAACGCTGGGTTGGTGGGTGGGTGGGTGGGACTCCCGGAGCGGGCCGGTTCCCACCTCCCTCCGCCCCGCAGAACTACTTTTTCGCTCCCCCAAACGGGACTCCGGCGGAGGCGTCCGCGCGGCCGTGGCGCGCGGGGAGGCGCGGGGGGCCAGGCGGCCGGGCGGCGAGGGCGGCGAGGGCGGCGGGGCGGCCCCGCGCGCCGCGGAGGGATCCCGGGTGAGGCGGCTTCCCGAAGTCAGAGGGGAGGACGCCAAAAAAAGTCGGCGGGGGAGGGGAAGAGCGAGCTCGCGCTGGACGCGGCCGGGGCCGGGAAGACAGAACCGGAACCGGAACCCGTGCGCGCGCCTGCGATCGTCGCGCGGCCCCTACCGCTGGTGGCCTCCTCCGCCCGCCGCGCGCGCTCCCGCGAGGGCCCCAGGACCCGGCGAGCCGGCCCCCGCGCTCCGAGTGGTCGCCGCCGCCGCGCTGCCGCCGCCGCCGCCGCCGGCCTCCGGGGCCGGTGTTTCGAGGCCGGGCCGGACGGGAACCTCCCGCCCCTCGCGGGAACGGCCGCCTACCGGCGCGTCGGGGAGGAGCCGCCGCCGCCCGTGCGGACTGCGGAAGAGTCCGGGCCTCGCAGGGATGGGGAGCAACCCGCGGCACTGAGAGACCAGGTTCCTGTCACCTCTGGCTGCGGGACCTCCTCCCCCGGCGCCCGCGGTCGTCCCAGCGCCCGGAGCCTGGTGGGGGCGGCGAGGAAGACAAGAGGGGTCCCCCGGCCCGGGGACATGGAGCCGCGCGAGCCTGGCGCGGGACGGCCCGAGACGCGGCCGAGGCTGCGGCCACGAGCGGCCGGCAGCCCCAGATAGAGAGCGGAGAGCTGAGCGGCCGGCCCCGCGGCGGCGGGGGCTCGCAGGCCCCCGACTCTCCGGAGGAGGAGCCGACACCCAGCCCCGCGCTGATCCCGCCCCAGCCCCGGAGGGATTCCCGGGCCCCTTCCCCTACGGCTTGCCGACTTCCCTCCGTGACGAAGTTTTCTCCTTGTGCCTTCCCGAGGATTGAGCTGTAGCTCTCGAACTCGCTTTCTGGCGGACTTCCTCGGTTTATTTTGGGAGATAACCTGTTTTGCTCCGACCTACATCCCCTTTCCTTGACCCTTCCAGTCGGACGTTCTAGATGACTGAATGGAGTTTTGAGTTGGACTTTTGTGTCCCTTACGGAGTCGGGCCTGATCCCAGAGCACTGGGGGTGGGGTGGAGGTGTTACTGTAAAATGCAAGTTGGATAAAAGGAGGACCTCTCGCCAAGGGCCCCAATGAGTGGCACACAGTCTACTATCACCGACAGGTTGGTATGAAGCTCCCCCTGCGCTTAGCTTCTTCCCTGGATTTGGCCTGACCTAGCAGAGAGTCAGTGATTGCCGATTGCCTTTGACCAGTGAAGTTGACAGGCATAGGAGAGAGGGTTGTTTAGGAGCTCTGCAATTAGACTGGGGTTGCTGCCAAGTTACCCAGTTGATTGAATTTGGAAATGTAGCTTTTTCTCCGGAGAGAAACTTTTCTCCAGATTCTCAGCGAAGGGGTAGGTAAAGCCATGATTGTGGTTTTTCTGTCTGTAGCGTGCATTGGGATTCTGAACTTATCTTGGAACCAGAGGAAGGTCATTTTGGGTGAAGGTCAGTGCCCGAAGTCGGCTGGGGTATTGGTGCATCACTGGTTTTCCTCCTGCCCTGTAGTTCTCTAGACACTGTTAGATTTTAGGAATTGCTGTTTGTGAACTTCTTTCTGAGACTACTGCATGATGATTTTTGAACTTGGTCTTCTTTGAATATTGAGCTGCGTAGTGTTTATTGTCTAATAATTTTCCAGAATGTTGAAATTACTAGTAAGTCACAGGCACTTGCTGGAGCTAAAAAGGCGGGTGGGGGTGGGGGAGTCATGGGGCTTGATTTTAATTGCTGCATTTTTAGTATTTCATCTTCCAGAAGCTTTTGCATTTAAGGGATACAAGCCCTAAGCGAATTAGGTAGTACAAGCATGGCAGGTGGATTCGTTGAGTTCTGAGTGAGTCCTTTCTACTACTATCTATGTTGCCTGGTGGTTGGTGAATTGAGCTAGACTATGTGGTTTAAATGGAGCTTCTTTACTCTTAAGGGTTATTCTTTGGAATATTAGGTTAAACAGTAAATTCTTTACTGTATTTTATTTCTCAGTTTCATTATGACATTGTATGCTGGTTCCAAATTTCAGTCCTTTTTTTTTTTTCAAGTCAGTTTTAAAACCATTACATCATTTAAAAAAAAAAAGGCTCAAATAACTGAATTAGGGGGCCAAAGAAAGCGCTTTGATGAAAAGCGCAACAGTAGTGCTCTTGCAGAAAATAGTTGAATTTCCTAATAGGAGAGTTTCACCCAATCGTCAGGCTCATTTGTTGATTTTAAAAGGGCCAAATTCCATTATCATACCATAACAGCTACTCCAGAAACAGAACTTCCTCTTCCTGTTGATGCTTTCCAGTGTCACGTGAAT